CTCCCATTTAAGTCACTCAGGAGTTTTGTTATTGACTTCATTAGAAGGGCCCTCGCCCTATATTAAGGCAGCAGATTTTTAACTTTAGTAATCCAGTATAATATTTAAATAGTTTCTTCCTTCATATGCTGTATTATATTGCATTATGCAAGCCCGCAAAAGATGGAAAGGGTGCCAATAGTCAATGCAGCATTGTATGCCCCCAAACATGCTGCCATTGATAGATTGCACTGGGTGGAGTACATAGAGGAACTGCAGTTTTTTCTGGCTCCACCCTTTGTCTGCACTGCATCTCTACTGGTCCTGTGAGCTGGGGAGGAGAAGAAGGGAGTTTAATGGCTGCAGATGATAATCTCTGCAGATGATAGTTCACTTCCACACATTTTCCCTTTGAAGGAGAATTCCGCTACCATGCATTACGCTTTTTATAACAATTACGCAGAATGAGTAAATGGATAATTGTTTTATTTTTTGCATGTTTTTGGTTTTTTTATTTGATATATCTTTAAAATAAGTATGATCCCTACAGAAATTGTCCTGGGCACTGAAAGGAGCACCAAAAGGGGCACCAACCAAGAGGCCAAGAATAGTTCACCCTTTAAAGCCAAATTTTGTTCTCTTAAAGAAAGTAAGAATGCATAAAAGAAAATGTTTGACAGATCAGCATAGTATTAAGGATTTATACCAGATTGTTGTCACTGATTTTCATGAATTGTAGACCTGCTGTGGGAGGAATTATCTGATCCATGCTTCTGCCAAACATGATAAGTTTTTAATCAGCACAGTCGTTTCCTTATATTTTATTTGGCTACTGTGTACCTTTTACTGGATTTCCAATCCAGAATACGCTTTCTAGTCATCTCTTTACCAGATAGAACAGATCATTATAGTAACTCTGAATTTGATTAGCATTAAATGTAGAACATGCAGTGTTAGTTGAAACAGCACGATCCTAGTCTGTGTGCAGTATAACCCAGATATTAAGTAATAATGTATGTAAATAAAGTTGCTTGAAACTAGCAAATACTCACTCAAGCAGGAATATGCTTTGGCTGTGTCCAGCTCCATGCCTAGCCTCTTGTAGACTCTTCTAAGAGGAGGACAGATTTCCATAGAGCATAAGGAAGCGGGCTGTGAAAAAAATGTGTACAAGGGGCTTGCCTAGCCAGAGTATTCCTATATGTATATGATCATAAACATATGGCTCATACCCCATCAGGACTTTCCAGCTGTTATATAATTTATGAAGGATTTGTGGAGCTGTGATTTTTCCATTAGGGAAGAATTCAGGCAGCCAACCAGCACCCTGCATTTCTGGCTCAGCTCTTGCTGGTATGTACACATGTGCAGTCCCAACAGGAATTCAGCACAATAAAAGTTAAAATAAAATAAAAAACTGTAATTAAGAATTGAGTTAACTTAGATTTTCTAAGCACTGTGCAAACAGGTTTTACAGCACTACTCCCATTAGGCCAGGGGTTCTCAAACTTTGGGTCATGACCCCTTAGGGGGTCATGTCGTTATTACATGGGGTTCACAAGCTATCAGCCTCCACCCCAAACCCCGCTTCACATCAAATATTTATAAGAGTGTTAAATATAAAAATGTGTTTTTAATTTATAAGGACGGTCACACTCAGAGGCTTGTTGGGGGAAAGGGCTCACTAATACAAAAGTTTGAGAACCACTGCATTAGGCTAACTTCTGCCCTCCGAAGTACATAGAGAGCCCTCAGTAAAGTCAGCAGGGGGGAGGATTTATTTCTGTGGTGGAACTGGGGCCAGCAGAGGGACCAAGTGGAGGGCAATGTGTCTCGCTTTTCTCAGGGCTTGTGATGGTTCAGTCTTCAGTACAGTTGACAGCAGACTGTGTGCTATCCTATAATGTGCCTTGGGTGCAATGGCCCTCTGATGGGGGGCACTCAACATTGGGCAGCGCCTCCTAATGGTTCATCTGGGGAGTTAGCTCTGACATCTGCAAGCACACCCTTTGCTGCGGTTACTCAGTCCATCATTCCAATCATTCACTCACTCACTCACTCCACAGCCTCTCATCCTCTGGGCCTGCAGTGCTTTCCTCTTGATAGCTTTGCATTCAAGCCAAGTCACATTAAAGTTCTCCCCCTTTTGGAATATCGCAAGCTCTTTGAGGCAAACTGTCCCAGGCAGTCCACTCCGCACTGTCTGGTCTGTACCACTCCCCTAATGACTGGTAGGGGAACCCAGGACCATCTTCTACACCAGGTTACAGTCTAGGGACCCAGGAGCTCTGGGCTTTTACACTCTCTGCTGTTACCACTCCTTCTCTACTTTCTCTTTGCAGCTTCCTGCTTTTCCCTCTTGTATCAGGGGGTTCAAATACAGGTTTCCTTTCCTCCCCTAGCCTGCCAACTTCCTTTCTTTACAGATCCTGCCCAGCTCCTCCCCCCAGCTGGACTTCATGTGCAATTAAGCCCTAGCACTCCCTAGGTTTCCTCCAGGTGCGGCCTAAGGTTAAATGGACTAATTTACCCTTTCAGGCCTTGTGTTGGGTGGACACCCCATCACAGACCCCTATGAATTACTCTGGCAGCAGAACTAGCTGTGACATAGGAATACCCCAGCCACATACCTTCCTAACTCTGACATGCCCCCAGTGTGATTCCTATCCCAGGGCACCTGCCAGCAGAAATTAACTTTGCAGCTGCTGTGGATTCCCCTCCATCAGGAGAATTCGGGGGCGAGGGGTCTGGTCAGCCTTCTCTTGGCCCTTTTTTGCCATCGCAGCTGATGCAAACGGAGCATAAGAAAGTGAAGAATTAGAGTAATATATGCACATTTAAGGGCAGAATTTGTCACATTGATGTTAATGGGAGTCATCCTGCTAATATAGCCCTGCCTTTAATTTATCCTTTAGCACAGGGGTCGGCAACCTTTCAGAAGTGGTGTGCCGAGTCTTCATTTATTCACTCTAATTTAAGGTTTAGCATGCCAGTAATACATTTTAACATTTTTAGAAGGGCTCTTTCTATAAGTCTATAATATATAACTAAACTATTGTTGTACGTAAAGTAAATAAGGATTTTAAATGTTTAAGAAAGTTCATTTAAAATTAAATTAAAATGCAGAGCCCCCCCGACCGGTGGCCAGGACCCTGGCAATGTAAGTGCCACTGAAAATCAGTTCATGTGCTGCCTTTGGCACTCGTGCCATAGGTTGCCTACCCCTGCTTTAGCATCTCTCACTGTTTCAGTCAGTATAAGTAAAACTATATTCTGAAACTCCAAGCACTACCCAATCACAATGGTGAAAGAAGACTGTATAGCAGTTTTTAAACTCAATTTCCTTGCTTTTTTCATCTTAAGTCAGACCCTTGCTACCTCTTTGCTTTAAAAACTTAGTTAATTTTACATGTGACAACCAATATGACCAACAGAGGACAGCAAATACATTTTTTTAATGATCAAAGGATTCGAAACTTCAGACTGTCATCCACGTTCCCCTGAGGAAATTAATCTGAGTGACAACAGTAACATGTCTCAAATAGTCTGACCATCTTAAAAAGTCCTTTTGCAATTTACAAAAAAGCTGTTTTGGATTTTAAGAGATTGTTTAAAATGTGTCCTTTAAACAAGTATTATTATGAATGAGACTGAGTAGATGAACCTATTAAATTATGGATTCTGTATTTTTATATCATTGTTAATTCAACACAGAGCTGACAGTTAAAACTCACAGCACACTTCAAGTGAGATTGTAGCTCAGATAATTTTTTTCATACTATGCCTCTTTCAGGATTGCAGATGAGGAAGATATTTGTAATTACATTTTTATTAAATGCAAGCTTTTATTAAAATTAAAACAAGGCAGGGGCACAAATCCAAACAGCAATATTTTTGTATTTACTCTTGGGGGTGTAGGTGGGAAGATTTCCTGGCTCATGCTGAAAATTTGAACAAGACCACCAAGGGTAATTTAATTATGAAAATCCAAATGACCAACAAAAGTTAAACACATTGAAACCTATTATCTTCTTTCCCCAAAAGCTGGTCATCATGGTTTTCTACAGTTGTCACTGCTATTGTTGGAATACAGATTGTTTTCCAAATCAGGAATGCATTGAAATCCTTATTTAATTAGTAATAATAATAACACTTTTCTCTTTTGAATGCTTTACTTATGAGAATCTTAAAATACTTTTCAAACACAGTATAAGCCTAAGAACATTTCTAGACTCCTATTAATTATTATTATTATTTATATTAATAGGGGCAAAGGAAGACAAAGTATTTTTAATACTTAATTGGGACAATTAATGTGAGTAAAGGTTTAAAGGACTGGACTCCAAGACATTAGACACATGCATAAAGCATATAAAGGGTAAATATAAAGATTTATGAGAAATACATGTAATAATAATAACTGCCTTCATCACAAAGTACAGTGGTCTTGTGAGAACTGATTTACAAGGTGCTTACAGAGCCTGATCCTGTGAGTTGCTGAGCACCCTCCACTTTCATTTAAGTCAATGGAAAGTATGCACCTGGCCAGATTGGGGCCTTATCATGCAAATTATTATTCATGTTAGCAATAATAATTATACTTTGCATGTACACAGCAATAGTTTCAGTGTTATTCAAGTGAATAAAGATTTGCAAGATGGCACACACAGTGCAGGCTGGAAATACATCACTGTATCCTCTGATGTAGGTAAGAATTATAAGCACTGAAATCAGCATTTTTCATATATATAGTCCTTTTATTTACTTTGTGCCTGTGTATGATGTAAGGTGTGTGTGGGGGGACAGTAAACACAACAGACAGGCATCTATAAGCATCATTAGAAAATGAGGAAAGAGCTTTACTGATTAGCTTTTCTTCACATATGACAGTCCCAGATCTTATCTGAGAAATGTGAGTTAAGTGCTTTGCTATTCTTTTTTTAAAAACCATTATCTGATCAGAGAAGCATGAAAAGCACTTTACTGCTCACTTGATTTTTTTCCCCCTCCTTGGGCTGGGAGCCCTCTGCAGGAAGTGAAGCTGAATTTCACAAATCTTCCCTTTCTGACGTCTCCCGAATTTCTAGGAATGCCCCTTCCCTGTTACTATATTTGGAGGTAGCTTCTAGGAAAAAAATAATTTTCAGACGATCTTGGACTCACCACACCTACTATACAAGGACTCACTTCACCTAAGATTCTCTGACAAGGACCCTAAAGGAGTTTAGAAGCCAAATGACTGGGATCATCAACTCCAGTGACAGAGCGGCATGTCTTTGTAACAGTGTTGCAGAAATGAGCATGGAGAGGGAATGGGAAAGGGGAGAGAGGTGTCTTTGTGGCAACAATGAGTGAATCTTCTCTAGTTATCTCCTGGTTGCTGGGTTTTTTCCTCTGCACTTTCTTTTGCAGTTGAAAGGAAGATGATCGTTTTAAAATTATTAATCCTCCTTTTTTTCTTCTTCTTTTCACCCTCCCTGCCACCCCCCTTGATGTGGCCTCTTGTTTAGCTTGTGGCGTGACCATGATGAAGAAATTTTTCTGGGAGCCTGGCAGTGTGATCTTTTTATGTAATGAGTCAGGATTTTGCCAAGGGAAGGAGCAGGGTTTGAGGATTGAGTGTGTCTCCTTTCAAGAAGAAAACTGACAGGCGAGATGCACCTTTTCCCCAGGATCCTTTTTCCCTCTCCCCGCCTCACAGGAATGACAAGTGGTAAGTTGTATTTTCTTTTGACCACCTCCTGGCCTTGCAATATACCCCCCACCTTGGTTCTAGACAGTGATTCCCAGGCTTGATGAGTCGCGTGTCCTAATGGACGTCTCCTTTTCTTTGGTGATCAGAAGGTGTGGGGTTCGCCGGAGCACATTGCTTGGGGTGGCGGGCCGCGAGAGCTGCTGGAAGGGCGCGGGGGGGCGGGCATGGTAATTGCTGCGAGATTTGTGTCTGTCTGGATCGGAGAGGTAGCTGCTTTGCTGAATGGGAGTTTGGGGGCTGCTGCTTGGAGACTGGTGTGTGGGGGGGGAGGTCTCCTTCCTTTGCATTTGCCCATGCTGCCATCATACCCCAGGGGTGGATGGCTGGGAGGTGGGATTGCCAGGCAGTGAAAGAGGTGGAAGGACCAGACAGAGTAGGGCACCCGGGCTCTCTCGGGACCACGCGCTAGACAGTGTCTGAGATTCAGCAGCAGCTCAGCTGCAGTCTCCCTTTCCCGAGGAGGATGCCTCCTTGCCTGTCTACAACAGTGTTTTCTTCCCCAGATCGCGTTTAATGTAAGCTAAGGAATCTGCTGGAAAAGATTGTTCGCACTCTGGACTCTTCCTTTTGTGCGTGCGTGTACACCTCTTTCCCCCCCCCCCCCCACTTAATTTAAATATGTATATCTATAGGTATATAAAATTGACACACAAGACAACATAATTGACTGAGGCTTTGTTTTTCGATAATACAAAACATGAAAAAGTATACACAGCAAATGTCTCGTCTGATGACATGGCTATTTCAAGACTGTGTGAATACAGGCATACCCCAGCACTACCGCCCTGTTTGGTGTGCTTACATGTGCTGACAGCCATGTGGACTAGTGGAATTATTCGTGTACGGTTTATTCCAGCTAGATTATTTATTTCATTTATTGTTTTAGAGATAGAACACAATGAATTCAAATATGCGTACTATAGGATACGGATCAAGAGTTTGTAGATTGGTCTTGGGTATCTAATGTTGGAGCCCATATAAATTTTTAGGCACCTAAATAAAAGTGGTGCTGAGCACCTGCAGCTCCTATTTGAGCTACAGATGCTTTGTATTTTTGAACATCAGGCCATCCATTCAGGTTTCTAAATGTCAATTCAAGTGCCTATCTTTAGGCATTTTTGAAAATGTTCGCTGAAGGATCTTAGCCAAAAAAAGTACTGTAAAGGCAAAGAAATTAAAAATGTATAAATTCTTAATTGTAGCTATATGACTTGCAGTAGTTAATAAGATTACATACAAACAGAAAGCCAGTTTTTAAAAAAAATTACATATAAAATAAAATAAAAATAATACCTATTTTTACAGGCCATATATCCCATTTTAAGATTTCTAGCTATTCAGTATTTCACTGGAGCCTTCAATCATTTTTATTTTAAGATATATTTGCTCAGTTTAGTACAATTATTTTCTGTAATAGTAGGAAAGCTATCAACCTTAATGTTTCAAAGTATCAAATACAGAGTGAGTTTAACATGCACTTTATTTTCACTTTTAATATGCAGGATTAAATTCTCTCTTTTAAAATAGTGTACACAGCGAGCTGCTTCAGTAGTCTAACTGAAGTGAATTATAATGTTTTTAATAACTGAGTTTATTAGAAATTTTTCAGGAATAATACACTGCAAGTTTCAGGAACATATTCCTCTGAGGTAGAGATCCACATTTTTCTGTTATTTTAATAAAGTATTATAATATTTGCTACCCAATTAAGCATTTAACAAATTTTGACAGTAATGAGAGACAACTCTCTAATATTTTTCAACTTTAATTTGAATTAAAAGAAACACACAAGAAACTCTGTTTTTCATGACAGAGGATGGATCACTTGATGATTACCTGTTTTGTTCATTCCCTCTGGGGCACCTGGCACTGGCCACTGTCGGAAGACAGGATACTGGGCTAAACAGACCTTGGGTCTGACCCAGTAGGGCGATTCTTATGTTATGTCAATCTTAGCTAATAGATATAAATTGGGTTGGGTCTAATAATTTACTATATTATTCTGTGTGAATTCTGAGTTGTTTACATGTGCTATAAAAGAAGTTGGAAAATACTGCTTTACTATGTAGTAAAAGAGTAATGAGATATCAATAACAAACAGTAAGCTCTGGTAGCCCTTCCTGTTTTTCAGTAAGTAAAGAGAACGTGCATTGTGACTTGGTTATGCTGTCCTGTTTTAGCTGTCAGAAAAGTTAGCCATTTATAGCAAATAACCATTCAGTTAATTGGGCACATCTTGCAAAGAAATTTTACTTAAAAATTGACCTCTGAAGATTGTGGTTCCAGAGTCGGGGTTTTGGGGGCGAGATGAGCTTATGTTTTATCCAACTGGCCCACAAAGTCCCGCTTTTGGTGGTCACTTTGTTCTGCAAAAGAAACCTATACATTATGACTTTTACAGGGGACAGTAAACTAATACTACACTACTGCTACAAGAATACTACACACGTTAAATAAATAACAATAGTTTAACTTTATTATTGTCATCAATGTAGTAAATGGGTAGAAAGTGCTTCTACCTCTTGGGAATTAAACAGAAGGAAATGTTTTTAATTGTTGATGTGGTTTGTAAAAGCTTCTTTCTTTAAAAAAAACAGTAAAAACCTATTGAAAAAAAGTTCAAAGTTGTCACTCAGTTACTGAATAAGATCCAAAAAATAACTATTTAAAAGAAGGGAATTTTGGCAAAAAGCAAAGCTGTTCATAGAAACTAACAATGACAGGTTAAAACTTTTTAAAAATCCTGTAATTATTAACGTTTACACTATTTTTTTAACTTGTTCACAAAATGCACCTCTCTCAAATTAATATCTTGATGCAGCCTGAGTGTGTTTGTGTAGATATATAAAACTTTATAGATTGTTGGCTGTTGTATGACATTAGCTGTAAAACGTATTTTCAAGGTAAATACACTGTACTTTTGCAATTTGTAAAAATTCCCAAATCCATTCAGCTACTTGCAGTTTGGTATTGATATCCTTTAAAAAAAACTGGGATTCTAATAAACTCTTAAGATTTGTTAGTAGAAAAGTTGTCTTTTTTGCAGCCCTGAATATATAATACATAGGTTTAAGATGTAAAGAAATGAGTTACAAAATATCTAAGTTTGAGGGAGATTATATACATGCTATGTATGTACAGAACACACACACACACAGAGTCAGATCCTCAGCTGGTATAAATGATCATATCTCCATATTTATACCAGCTGAGGATCTGTCTCATACTATACATAAAAGATTAATGTATTTATGCGTTGTCATATGCTGTAGTCAGAGTTATTTATTTCAGCTGCTGATTTTGTATGCACCACTTAAGATTTTCTAGTAGAAAAGTTGAAAATCCTTTTAAAAGGCCTGGTAAATCATCAACCTTTGTACAGTAATATACTGTTAAGATAAAGCTGTTGATATGTGCATATTATTTGATTACAGATAAAATCTGCATACTCAGTCAAATAGAATATTTTGCTAAATGAAGGAATTCCATTAATACTTCATGGAAAAGTGGATAGCTAGATCGTATTCACTATACATGTGTATGTGAGTTATAAGAAAGAGATCCCCACTCCATATATAATAAATGGATCAACTTAGTTTAAGACTGAAAGGATTATTGAAAGAGATATAGGACAGAAATTTACATTATTGGATACCTTTTAGCTGTTACTTAATATGAAAGCTTTTGTTGTTTAATAGTAGCATTTATTGGAACACTTTAATTTTTCGTGTCCTCTTATATGTTTAACTATAGATAAATGTATTTAACTAGTTTTCCATTAAAGTACTTAAAAATTATGCTAGTGAATACATTACAGTCAAATGCGATATTATGTGTCACTGTTCTCAACCTGTGCTTGGTGGACCTCCAATTGTTTCTGGGAAAATACTTTGAGAAGTGAGGACTAGAGAATTGGGGAGTTGGGAAGGAAAATCACTCTACTAGAGGATCTTGATCTTATATAGTAGGAAACAAGAACAAAATGTAGAGAGGCTCTCCAAAGAGCGTTAGGAACCAACTCTTTTCTGATAAAATATAGCAGTAATTTTTCGACAGACAGCACAATCCAATTTTTATTTTAAAGTTCTGAGAATTAAAATATTTTCCTTTATAATGCATTCAGTAAAATGTTTCCATTCTTATGCATATCATTTTGTTACCCAGATATATTTTTGTAATTTTAAAAATAGATTTTAATTTAATTTTTCATTGATAGTACACAGATTACATGCATAATCTTCCTAGCAACATTCAGCTGATTATAAAATAAGTAGAGTGTTTAAATGAATATGTTTAAATTCTAAGATGTCAACACTTATAAAGAATATGAGTCTAACCCTGAAGGCCTTCCTCATCCAAAACTCCCATTGACTTAATTTTTTCCATTAGTAAGGACTACAGGTGCAGACCTTGTCCGTTTCTAATGTCTATTAAAATGATAGATTCAGATGTCAAACAAATATCCTAAATGCAAAATCTCTATTTTAATGTTAAGTTTGTAACCTAAACCAGTGACGACCGGGTAATACAGTGATGGACACCATGAAACTTATCATAAAAATTAAATTGCAGCTTTGCCCCTTCACTCATGCTGTTATGCCTTTTTATCCTATAAGGCACAAGTGAAAGATGGAATGTCAGCCTTCACTCTCACTTTCCTAGGATTTATTTTGTATTCTGAGCTTTAATAATTAAAGATCATGGGACAATTTCTTTATTTGGCTGTTTAAAATGAGAAAATGTATTTTACGGAAGATAATAAAATACTTATTATATGCTTAAAAATGATTGTTTGCAATCAAAAATAATGTATTTAAAATCAAAGCTGTTTTGAATTATTAAAGTTAAAAAAATTAATCACCCCAATAAATATCAATTATTTTTTACTTTAATAACTTTGAAATCTCCTAACTAGTTAACTTTTGTTTTTTTGTAAAATATAGTAAAAAAATGATCAT